GGGAATTAAGGCCGGGACACACCAAGCCAACTTCAAAGAACTAGTAGCGACGAAAGCCGACGGTGTTGTCGGCAGCGTCGGACCAAAAAGCTGCGCTCAAACACACCGCAGAGACTATAGCCAACGGCAAACTAACACGTGCGTTCTGTGCATCCTTAAGCGGAATTAACTGTCTATATCAGCAGCTATCAATGGTATATATTTGTCATTCAAAATGAGAAACTGAAACAAAGATATACGAGATAAACACAGACATACGAAACGTAAACAAAGCAGTGCTTGCTTACCATTTTGAATATCAGTAACATTGATAACTTTAATCATTTTAAGTGGCTCATGTTGTTTTGAAAACATTCACGTATTAGAACGATTGGGAAAGATCACATAACATTTAAACAGCCTTCTGTCTGTACCGCCTTCATTTACGTGCTTGTTTTCACCACTTTCGCTTTAATTCTCGGGCACTGACTCGTTCGCTAAACTGAACATCCAATCAGAGCTCTCACTCGCGCCAACGGCCCCGACGCCGATTCAACATGTTGCCGATTCAACTGCCGCCGATGTGAGCCCGACGAGAGCCGACGAGTGGAACACACCAAACAAACTAGCCCGACAGTCGCTCGCCGTGTGTCCCGGCGTTTACAGTTATAAATTACAATATATCACCCCCAGTGTAATCTGTCAAAGTGACGGACGGCCTTCAGATTTTTTCGTCACTGCTAAAAAAAAAATGCGACCTCTGTGTACATACTGTTACAAACAAGAACACGTTTTGTCAGATCTGACTTTTTAATTGTACAGTTCTTTGACATGATGGCCCATCTTTAATTGTACAGTTCTTTGACATGATGGCCCATCTTTAATTGTATAGTTCTTTGACATGATGGCCCATCTTTCCCAGTTAAGCCTGTGCTGTGTTTTGAAAGTCAAGTCTCAAAAGGTCACACGCTCATCCTGTCATCTTTTGTAGCTTGATTGACAGAAGAGGCTTTTTACCTCCAGATGACACACCTCAAACAGTGACCTCTGACACTGAGCTCCCTCCTTTCATGTCTAAGAATGACGCAAATATGGTAAGAGTGCCTTCAAGTTCAAGGAGCATTAATTCCTAAGTATTTTTTAAATAGTTAAAGCATTGTAGCAATAATCCTGATACATTAGTCTGTCAAAAAACATTCCATGGCATTTCAAGTCATACACTACCGCTCAAAGGTTTGGGGTCAATAAGATTTATTTAAAATAAATTATTTTATTCAGCAAGGATGCATTAAATCGATCAAAA